AGAGCCTGTTTCATTCAGTTAAACGGTCTTCTACGATCATGTTGCACGTATTCTAACGTGTTGATCCTGTCCAGTCGTCGTGTTGCACCAAGCGCATATGGAAAACTTGGACTGTTTCTCTAGCTTATTTCGGAGCGAATTATTGTTGGGTACAAGAAGTCTGTTGGCTGCTTGTGGCGAGATTCAACGTCTAGAGTAAAAATATCAAACTATTGGATCGGACTCGAACTTCTGTGCTGCGGGGTAACATTCTTCGACGGCACTGCAGTACCAACTTTCTATCATTTACTTACAGACCTGACTAATATTAATTACCTTATATGCACTCACAACACCAGAATACTAAGAGTGAATTTCGACTCGAAAACAACGACCCCCTAAGGTTCTCTTCTGTGTCGACTCTTTGACTGGTCAAATGGCATCGAACTCGAAATGGCCTCCTGTTTGCGTTTGTATCAAATTGGATAAAACAATCCTCCACAGGTAAATGCCATGATTCCAAGACCCACTGAAATCCGATAACATTAAAATCTAATATCGACCTAGTAGTCGAACTACGACTCTCAATTCTGTCCGAGGGAAATTGTCAGGAGGACAATGACCACGTCTTTGCTCATTAGAGGTCATACCGCTCGAGGGCAAGGCTGAGACGAATAGTGGTTCCATCAGCCTTTATTACGCACGTCTGCATTTGCAAAGAAAATTCTTTCATATGGTCCAGATACTTCGCGGCATATGTCATCATCAATAAGCACGGAAGACTGCCTTGCCACATCGGCCGCCACTATGGGCACCATAAAGACAATCACTAATCAGGCATATCCGTCGATCTATTTCGTGTTGGAGATGGAAACGGCCGGTTCGCCCCCTTTATTAGATGTTCGTCTAAGCGAGAAATCTGACGGTAGCGTTCAAAGGAGCGTCTATCGGAAGAAAACCTGGCGTGGACAATACGCAAAATTTGGCCGTTTTAGTACCGTTCAAACAAAGCCGAAATCTAGTTTGATATTTGGCACAAGGAGCTAAATGAATCTTTTCAACAGATAGAATCGAGGAGGCGCTTAGAAAAATCTAGGACTTGCTTCGCGAAAATGGGTAGCAAGATAGGTTTGTCGCAAAGAAGACTGCTGAATGCCTGGTAAAAGCCACCACACTGACTGCCGAAAGAAAACATAATTTCTAAAAGTCTGTTTTCAAGAGACCGCTACAATGATTCATGCATCAATCGACGCATCGATCTGGACGTCGCCATGCACGCAAACCTTAAATAAAAGTGAAAAAATTGATGGCCAATCAGAACGTGACGTCGGCCCACGGTATCGACCCATTCGTAGCACTGGCGATACAATATCGATTTTTCGGGTGTTTTAAAATTTACGCGTCTGACGATGACCTGGGGAACCAGCGTTGAAAATTTAATAAATACTGTTTGTTCCATTTCCCAAAAGACTGTCTAGACACGTGTTTCGCCGATATTCTAACACAGCAGAACCCCTCGCAGCTAAGTCAAGCTGTGGCAGAATATCGGCGAAACACGTGTGTTGACGGGAGCACGGCATAATACCTTTGCCCTACATATATATATAAATGGATATAGACGGGACACATGTAATTATTCGTGCCGTTTCGCAGCTAGTCACGCGTGCTGATGTCAGCCTTCACTGGAGGGAAGAAGGCTATGGGGAGAGCAAGTGCTTCGCATCTACTCTTGGAGAAAAGTTTGGAAAACTGCGTTTGAGTGAGGAGACAGTCCGAAAGAAATTCAGAGCTTCCAAAATAATTTAGATAACAAAGAAAAAAGTAGGAGCAGGCTCTTTCCTTCAGAAATGTCCTTGTTCCCCCAGTCCCTACGAGTTCCGTAAATGCGCAGGACCGATACTAACAGAAAAGCTAGTAGTATTAACTACTATCAGTCTTGCCTGATACCATCTGATAATGCGAAGACAAGGTCCTTGGTAGGGCAGTCAGTGATTACACACTTTCCAATGTGAAAGTGACCCCATCCTTAGTAGGTGTTCTTTTGATGCCTTTTAGCGTGGTGTCTCAAATCGCCGCATGTCAGTTGTGTCCTGCTCGGAGCCGCTACCGAAGACCAGCTGCAAGAGGATATTGAAGCAGTTCTGGTGAGTCCCCTGGCGATTGAGACATTTCTTAAAAATGAGATTGTAACAGAAGCAAGGCAAGCAGCAATGTTAAGCAGCCCAAGCAGGTCGGCTTTCTTCAATTAATTCTGACTTCAAGTCAATTCATGTGACGTAGCCTGGACACACAGTAGCTTGTGATCTAAGTATCGCATTTAACGACCAATTGGATGAGGCTTACTTGGCATTTCAGGAATGCAACCAAATAATGGGCAGCGAAACTGTAAAACAACTGACTCCTAGTTGGCCTCGTGGTCCCACTTCTGTTGTCGGCATACACTGCACGCCACAGTAGTTGAAATGGTTTACTGTGAAGGGAGGCCTTGCACAAGTGTTTGCCGCAAAAGGCGGGAGTCCGCCTAAATTTAGAACTGATTATATCGAACTCACACCGCAACCCGTGTAAACACCTAGTGCACGATAACACTATGACGCTTCTCATTGGCTAGTATGCCCAATTTAGTCACATCGACCTGCCACGCCCATTGGTAATTTTGTGGTCTATTTTGGTTGTCAGCTTGGAATCCCTTATGCCTGTTGGTTGCTCTGTATTACCCTGTTGTAACATGGGCTGTTCAACATGACGCTCAAAATCCCAACTCCATCTTATAAGTGACGATCATCTCTGTTAATCTTTAAGCATGTACTGTGGATAAAGGTGAGGTGAGTGATAAAAGGACTCCAATAACCGCTGTCGTATATGCCTATCGTGGTGAATTCTGATACCTGGAAGCATAATAGCCTCAGAGCCTTACGCAACACAGATCTAGATTACTACGTTCACGGGTAGCCACCTAGCCGATCAACCCCCACAGAGTATCAACCACCCTCAACCAAGACGATAACTCATTGCGCGGGCAGTCGTAAAAGTCGGCCAATCATCAGCCAGAAGGCCGAGGCAGCGAAAGAAAAACACGACCAGCTCAAGGCCATCTAGCTTGACACGTTTTTGGCACTTTCGTCCGATTTTATGTATTTGATGCCTTAACGCTGGTGCGACGAGCGACTTCTCTGGAGCGTCAACAGTTCAATAAAACTGGTTCGACTACCCCTCCTCCCCTTCAATGAATATATCATAATTATTGTTGCAGTACTGCTTAACTTGAAAAAGTATGCCAGCCTAATTTCCCCGAAGTGGTATACTGGCATTCAGCAGGAGAGCTTTCCAGCAGACCACTTCTTGAACTCTTTTCGCAGAGATTTGTTACAATTTAAGATGCCGCGAGGGCTTTGATTCGTCGGTTTAGAAAATGATTCCTGAAAACGAACCTACAATTCACTGAAGGGTATGCGCATTCAGCTGCCAACTCCGCTTAATTTTAATAGTAAAGTCAAATTACAGTCGCAGACAAAGATGCTCTTGGTTGGCTGTATGCATCCACAGCAGAAATTATTAATTCTTAATTCGGTCGAGATTGAATAAGAAGTACCCATAGGTGAATAGAACACATGTACTACTTGAATAAGGAGACACGAGGGGAGCGCACAAGTGAACACTTACCAACTCCAGGGTCGGTGGATCAGATGGTCGAGCAATCATCACACCAACAGCCAACGCACGTGATGAAATTGCAGCAAATTAACGACACGAATGTCGGCCATCAAACAATTGGCACACCAAGTGCGACGATTTCTGATGAAGGGGGGAGCTGTGAATTAATTCCTATAAATACTGCAGTCCCTTGTGCATCCTATAGATACCGCAGCCCGTTGTGATTGAACCACCTGTATCTGCTTTTGTCTCTGATGATGGGTCCGAGCAGAAATACGAAACATCAGACTAGTAAAGCTCTTGTCCCAGCGATCGTGTCTCCTCCTCCAATACTGCTTCCTGGGATTCATCTCTTCGCTTCTATTGGCACACCCAACCTTCTCTGCATTAAGTGTGTCAGGTCAATAACACCTCAACTACGGCTGTTGGGAAAGTCCGTGAAGCAGTTTGCTTAAATGCGTTTTCGCAGAGCACCTAGAACGGTGAGTTTCACTGATCCTTCGGTAATATTTTCTACTGATAAATCGGTCAGGATACCCATTCTCTCAAAGCAAGTTCTGATTCAGCCACCAACGGCTTCTAATTAATCCCTTTAGCGCATACATGTACTGCACAAATGAGAACTTATTGAAATCAAACGTCAGATTGCCAAACATTCATCGAGGATAGGAGAGTTTGAATGTCTTAAACCTACGTATTCTTCAATTGTGGTCTACATCTTTCTGGCGCATTACACGCTCTGACCTGCGAAAAATTAGGACGTCGGCAGATCGACCCCGCCAAGAGACACATCTTACAGCCTGGCGAATATTCCTACTCATATCCAGCCAGTAGAGCCGCCTTAATTACTAAAACCACATATTGCCTACGTTTTTTACTGGAAGAACAACGCTTCCCCTGATTCAATCAACATTTCATGTGAATTTAGGCAATGAAGTCGGTCTCCAACGCGGTCCTCGGGGAGATTGAAAACATCCTCATGAGCGATCGAGAGTCTGAAGGATTTCTCTGAAGTGGGTAGCACTTCGCGTACTTCCAGTCCCTCATTCAATATCCTCTCTTCTCAAGTGCTATGCTCGGCCGAGAAAGGGATATTCCATGCTAAAAGTATTTATTTTTTCTTAATAAAGTTGACAATACTGTTTGTACTTACAGCAGAGAGTGGAAAGAGAGGGAGAGGAAGTGGGCGTCTGGGTGAACTTTCGATAAAAATGACTCCAGACCTGCAATTTTACTGATCAGGCAAGCAGAGCCAGCCAGGGGTGCAACTCCGGCACTGCAAGACCGGAAGGGGAAACAAAACCAACCCCAGCCTCTGTAAAGCCCGGTTGTCAGAAGCACGAAACAAGACCGTTTGTAGCGGACGTTTACTAGGAAACAAATATCAGAGCTGTACAGACCGATAGGCGGGTGGTGATGGAACGAGGATATTTACAGGGGAGGGAAAGCTTGCACTTTGCTCACCACTAACTTCTGCTGTTGGTGGGCCAAATAGCCCTTGATTTTCCCCTGAAAAGGCACGAACAAACAGCTGGTCAATGGGTTATTGGTCGTAAAAACAAGTCAATGTAAAACCACTACTGGAAAGTAGCTAGTAGGTAAGTCGAGTATCGTAAACGTCTGAAAGACACTCGCTAATGAAAATCCGTGTAAAAATGACATACCAGACTGGCGTAACATTCATCGATGTATCCCGGTTTTAGGAAGAAATGAGTCCGCTTTGCTTTGCACCACTAACCGAAGGCACTCGTAGCCGGTGGCATCGCAACGAGTAATAGATAATCGTGAAGCATTTCGTGTGGCCTACCTTCTTTTTAGTCGGCGACATTTCTTGACCACTCGGAGCATCCCCTTTACCTGCCCAAAATTTCGGACTTGTGTCAACAACAGCATTCATAGTGCCGCCCAGCGTGTCAGCCGGACGTGCCTTTAGTCGAAATCAGAGGCAAAAATCTGCCTGAGGAACCACCGTTAGTGATAAGCGGGAGGCAGGTCGACTTGCCGAGTCCCAGAATTGTGGTTAGCTTTAGACCCGAAAGCAGGAACGCAAGCAGTTGACACTCATTCCTTGTCCTCCTGCTTCTCGGATGATAAGATCCTGATTTGGCCCATAAGTTCAGGCAGAGAAAACTGATCCTGGAGACTGTCCCATCTTGCGCCTATCTTAAGCCCGCGTTTTGCCTCTAGTGGTGAAAATAGTGTGTGTGTCTAGAACGATAATGTTCGCGGTCTAGGAGATGGCGTTTACTAGAAAGACGAGGTGGCCCTATTAAGCAAAGAGTGTAGATGTCAGCCAACAAGGTCAAGCAGTCACGGTGACTTGCGCGTGATAAATTTCGAAATGCATGTAGACATTAGTAACAAATACAGCTCTCCATCGTCCTCCCCACCTGGATCCGAAGTCAAGACAGAGTCAAGAGGACCGGAGGTCGGGAAGTGCGCAAGTGGACGGCGCTGTCGAGCCCGCAACCTGGCGTTCCACTCCACACTTCTGGTCCGCACACTAACTGACCAGGATTCTAACCAACAGCAAAATAATGGAGGCTGACGCGGCCAAAGACGCTCCTAGGCGTGCCGCCACACCCGGCTCGAATCCCACGAAGTGGGAGAGTCATAAAGGCCACATTAAGGAGCCATTGTAGCCTGGCTCTTAGACCACCAGCCGGCCGCTCCACGCAAACACACAACTGCCGACTCCGAGGTCTAAGTAATCCCGTCAGTTGGCGACCTTCCAAGCCACGGCTTTTGGCGCACCGTGATAACTTAGATTGCGTCAGATTGTTTATAGTGCGGAAAATGCGCTGAGCCGTCGACCTCGCTCTCCCTTCCCATTCCGGGGCCCCAGCCACTGTCGGAGCCGGTCAGTTGACTGATGCGAAGGATGGGCGCGGTGGCTGCGCGCGCCATGACCTGACCCCCCAAACACAAGTACCAGGATTTCACACAACGGGGGTTGAACGACGTACATCTCACATGCCGCTTTAGTCTGGCTCTCAGCTCATCAGTCCGCCACTCCACACATACAGGCGACTGGCCAGACTGTGTGGACACAGTTGGGGCGACAGTGTGCAGCCTTCCAAGCCATAGCACTTTACGTGCCGTGATAGCTTCAGACTCGAATCACACATGGAGTAGGAGTCGCATAGAGGTGGCGACGAGGCGCACACTTCCACTTGCGTGGGAAGTGACAATTGGATGCTTGCGGTGGATGATGATGTTGCGTGATGTAGGTGGAGGAATATGTAGTGTAATTTAGCTGACGGTTGTCTACCGCAGGTTTTCGTGAATGCGCATGTAGCCCAATAGGCCCATGCGGCGGGTAAACGTGCAGGTGCAATGAGGGCAGTTGAGGCGAATGCGTCTGGTGTATGTGAGTGCTCCAGGTACTGGTTCGCCAATCTCTGTGCAATGGATTCGTAAGTGACCGACCAGGCCGATGTTTCATGTACACTGACAAAAGCCCTGAAAGCGGCCATTTCGGACTATTACGAGTCGTGTCCCGTTGGAGTAAGAATAAAGGTCCTCGACTGGGGGAAGGGCAGTTTACAGGAGGCGAATGACTTCCGGAACTGGAAAATTGATGATATTGAATAATCAAGAAACCCTCCGTTGGAAGGTTATGAAATCAGCATCTTGAAATTCTTTCGTTAGTTCTTCGTCAAACGCAAACGCCACGTCCTTTCTGCACTTTGAAAATCACATAATAGCCGGTCATCGAAACAGCTTTCCGTCTCATGATAATAAGGTAAAAATATTCAAGAAAATCAAGGCATATATCATATTCGGAACCTAAAACCTGCATAGAAAGACCTTAGATCCGAACCCGAGTTTTGCTGGTTACTGAATGTAATACTATACTATTTGAGTGGGTCGCGATTCTAGGTATCCAAAGACACGAACGGGACTCCTACACCTGGTTCACCTTCAGAGTAGAGGGCGCGCTAAGGAAACGTCCCTTTCAGGCCTCCTCTTTGTTGTCGAGAAATCACTGTATTACTAACTATTCGTTGTCGCAAAACCGTCTTTGAGAGCTCTGTAGAAGAGCCGTAGGAAGATGGAGTGCTACCACCATGTCCTGAATGCAGACGTGATGGGCTGAGGCCACTCCTACGTAGTTTCGAAAGTGAGTTTCGGCAATCAGTAAACTAGCCCACATAATTTAACAAGGAGGAATGCAATGTCAGATCATACGGTAAAAAAGGTGGTTAACAGTTACTCAAAAGTCTATTTTCGAGAAGAAACGACTGAAAAAAATCATGGTCACGTATCTTGTTATGTGATCTCGCTTGTTGGCCGAATCGACTCCGTTGTCAATAAAAACGTCGGAACAACAGTGGTGAATCCGTGCAGACGTCAATTGACTCAACACCCCTGCCTTCATCCTCAAAAACATGAGCCAGTCATTCTCACTGGAAATCACACGTGCGCATTCCCCAGCATGCTATTAGGATGCTGACAGTCTCGCCATTGGGCGGCTACCGTAGGACCTGATTGGCCCGTGTCTGCAGGAAGTTGCTCAGCGTATGTCGCGAATCTTCTTCTTGAATCGCATTGGGCAAAATGCTGGCCAACCACAGTAGGCTGTTATAAATGCGCGCTACTTTTCCAAGAAGGGCGACTTGCAGGTAAATGGATTATTCTTGTGGTCAGTCTTGTTCTGTTTTGGGTGCCCTGTTGGTGGCTGGGACAGCAGTCGAATGCGCAGTCGGTTCGAGCCATTACTGAGTTCGTAGCCGAGCCATAACAGATCCACAACATGCCGGAAAACACACTGATGCGGCATAAGATGGCGTGTGGCGGAGGCGAGGAAAATAAATGCGGTGTGGCCCGGCCGTTCGAGGATAGTCCAAATCAGTCCCGAATTTTGCCCAGTTTCACTTCTGAGCAGGTGGGGTTGAGCTCTCCCAAACTGTCCGCTCAATGGAGAAAGTTAGGGTTTGAGCCCAGCTAGCCCAGGTCTGCGACATGGGGCATGGTTGGCCCACGACACCCAAAAGGCCATTGACGGCTATTCCAGTTGCCCTGGCCTTTGTCTACTCTCCCTCTAACTTTAAGTCTGTTTCATAAGTCGTCTTAGCGAAAACGCTGTAAAAGGCAAACTATTGCTTAGGTCTGCGTTACAGTGCTATGCGTCGTGGGGACGTATGGGCCAAACAAGACTGCTCGACCATCGCGAATGATGATGTCCAGCCTGTGTTTCACAGCATGTTGGGCGCAGGGACAGTGACTTGGACGTGAACCACTTGGTAGTTATTACCGACAAAGACAAGGGAGACTGGAATGGTCATTTCTGGCTTATTATCCGTCGTCAGCCAGTCATACCCGACCCCGAGGTGTGGAACACCTGGGGCTCGAACTCGCGACCTGTTAGTTAGAAGTCCAACGCCTCTAACCACTGGGCCAGGGGCCTGTATGTCGGTAATAACATACTGCCTATATCATGCGCCGCTGTGCGGCTGCTGGTTGGCACAACGGAACGAGTTCCGTAAGAACGATCGGTGAGGGCCCCCTACCAGTGGTGGTAGACTTGTGAAGTATCTACCGTACTCTCCCTTCCCTCACCCATCCGAGTCCGAATCAAAAAATCAGAGGCAGGGCCGGGCGCAGTGGCTGAGCGCCCTAATCGTAATCGTTGAGCACCTAATAGTAAACCCTAATCATAACCCGGAAACCTAACCCTGAAGTCTCAACCCTGACCCGGAAATCGTAATCCTAACCAGGAAGCCTAATCCTAACCTTAATCCTAAAACCTAAGCCAAATGTTCTAACCCTAACCCAAAAAACCCTAACCCTATGGCCAAACCCCAACCCTAAGGCCAAACCCTAATTATTAGCCTAAACCCTCACCCTAACATTAAAACCTGACCCTAAAACGCAAACTCTAATCCTAAAACTTAACCTACGCCTAACCCTAACCCTCACTAAACCCAACAGCCTGACCGAAGCGGGCGACCTGCCTAACTGAGTGGAAGCACACCTACTGATAACAACTTCCCTAGACAAGATAAACACACCTACTGATTACAAGTGAGTACGTCGACATTAGCAACGTATGTCTGGCTACGAACTGCGATGTCAGCTAAGTTAAACAGCCCGTCTGCGCGTGCCACACACACGCCCGGTACGTGTACGATGACCAAGGTTTTTACAGAGGCAAAGCGGCTGATCAGAGCCCACTTAAGTCGGTGTGTCATAGAGGTCATATTAAGAAGGAGCCATTGTGGCCCGTCAGTTGGTAGCCGTTCAAACCGCGGCTCTTAGCGCATAGTGACAGCTTAACACTGCATCAGGTTGGCTATGGCGAAGAATGAGCGCTGGATGAAATAGAGACGGAGTCCCCAGAGTCGATCTCACTCCCTCCTGCCTCGCCCACGCACCAGTCAGCTGTTTGAACCAGTCCGTTGTCTAATGCAGCGATTGGGCGCATATGGCCGGCGTGGCGCGAGCCCGCGCCGAGGCGTGCCAGGACGGTCCTCATGTGTGGCATCTGTAACTGGTGCGCATCCTTATCAAACGCGCGCGCTGTAGGGGCATGGGCAACACACGCACATGCATTGATTGACAGCGCACGCGCGATAGAGTGCAAAATCCGGAATTATGTGCTGTACCAGAGGGTCACTCCGTAAATATAAACTGGAAATTCGGCTTACGTCGTATATCAGGTTAGCGAGGATACAGCTCGTCTCGTCAGAATCGACGTCCTCCATCTGAAGAGCATTAAAACGGCAAAAGGGGCGTGAGTAACTGATAAAAGGGCAGACACGCAAATAAATAATCTCCTGCCACTTCATTCTCATTAAGGGCAAGTACAGTAGGTGGGCTAACCCATGAAATGTCAAACGAAATTTCGAAATGCTTTCTCGTTTCGAAAAGGTTAATTAAGTACGGTTCTAAAACTAATCATCATGCAGCATAATTCTATAATAATCCTGTTACCTCAGGGTGTCGGCTTTCGAACGAACTTATTTCCGACGGCATGCAAGAACTATACTCTGCAAAAAATGACGGATTAAGTAGCACGCAATTTTCTCATCGATTTTCGATGCCCTTGAAAATTCAATTACAGTTCATGGAAAGCATGCATTAAAATATTCATTATTTTACTTATTCGGTAGAAAATCGCGTCTTCTTTCGATTTTATACTCGAAAGAAGAGTACAATTCGGTTTTAAGAAACTTTTCGAATTCCCGAATAATTTTAAACCCGACCCGCTGTTACACTTGCATTCAGGGTTTCAAAACTACGAACCGCATATTTTCCGGAAAACCACACATTTCTCTACGGTATTAAGAGGAAACCACATGGGTTTCATAAGATTGAGCAGTGGATTTGAGCAATATTGTTAACTTTGCAAGCCACATTCGTAAATGCACACACATGACGATTTAGGAACGGCCATCTCACGGTATTAAAAAATTTCAAAATTAAACTTTTGAAACCGAATTATACCCTTCCTCTGAGTACAAGATTGAAATAAGACGTGATTTTCTACCGAATAAGTAAAAGAATGAATATTTTTATGCATGTTTTCCATGAAATATAATTGAATTTTCAAGGGCATCGAAAATCAGTGGGAAAATTGCCTGATACCTAAGTAGTCATTTTTTGCAGAGTATTGTTGTTGAATTCAGTTGGAAATAAGTTTATTCGAAAGCCGACATCTTGAGGTAACTGGATCCCTATAGAACTATGCTGCATGATTATTAGTTTTAAAACCCTACTTAATTAATCTTTTCGAAACGAGAACGCAGTTCGAAATTTCGGTTGACATTTCATGAGTTAGCCCACCTACGGTAAGAGTGTGCAGAACTTTGGCCTACAGTTCTCTGGTGCAGTCACTGCACAGCCAATGGGATAAACGATGCATAAGTTAAGCATAAAAACGGCAAAATTCTGCAGTTTGAACAGGTGATCATTGGCCCGAAAGCTCTAGTGCTTCAGCCACAAGTTCAAGGCCTGTCAGGAATACGCGAACAAACTGGGGTGGCGTTTACTGATTTATCCTGATTGCGAGGCAACGCCCTAACGGTTAAAATGTGGTTGGTGACGACGTCCACCGCAACGGAGTGGGCTTGCGCGGCACCTACCGCACCGTCTCCCCACTCACTCACGTGACGACGTTGGCAAGACAACATCAAGACGACCGGTGAGCAGGGGGCGTTGCCTGACAAGGCTAAACAGTCTGTCAGCACGGGCCACACGCGACATCTTCACCTGTATCGGCAATTATTGTAGTCTGACTCTCTCAGGCCTGGGGCTCGGAGCTAGAGATCTGGTAGGGGGTCGCAATGCCGACAAAGGCATTGTCGAAACTGCAGTAAACAGCCGACTGAACAGCAGGCCATGGTGTGAGTAGCAAGGTGATACGCCGCTCAATGACCAGCTGAGCCTGCGTTCAGGGCTCGGGGTCGTCTCAGGCTGGCTGACAGTGAAGAAAAAACGAAAAATGGTTGCTTCAGTCTCTCTGGACTGTCTCAGCTGCCGCCATGACCAGAACCATCTGTTAGAGAGAAAAAACATCCAGACAGCTAACTTTGAAGAGCACCCACACAGGTCACACAATCAAGAAATGAGGTTGCACTGGCCAAAGTTACTCACCCCCATAAATTTAAGTGCATCCGTAAATGCGGCAATTGGTAGCAAGTGTGTTTTCAGGATATTGGCACTGGAAGAGAAAGGGTTAGACATCCGAAAACCCCGTAAGCACCTACATCCGCTTGAAGAGGTTCCGGTAGGCTATCACCTTCAATTTCTCCAAAATAAGGAAGACACCACAGGATATGAAGAAGTCCTCGTAACGACTGAGGTCCTCATTGAGCCTTCTTATGTTGCCTGATCTGGAAAAGCGTGGGATGTTGGAACGGTAGGGATGGGAACGTACTTCGCAGCCTCCGCGATTCCCTCAAACTCCCTCAGATTATATTTCTCCAGAAGCTTCTGCTGGGGAAAGATGCCCTAGAGCAGAGTTGGGGGGAAAACGTCAATAAGAGTAATGGAGGAATAAACACTTCCAGTCGCACCAAAACGAGGCTCAAAGTCGTCAAAACATATCTGGAGGGGGGGGGGGATCAGACACACACTGTGGGTGGATGTTTTACGAGGAGATGTCAACGAATGGTCGATAACTCAAGGATTAACTTCACTGAATGGCACTGCCACCTCAAGAAATATTTTAGACCAGAGGCAGACCAAAATGGCTGACAACCGCCGCAAAGAAGGAGTTTCGAAAGAGACGCAAGCTGCAGGAAATATTTTGCAAACGGAGAGCCCAGGGAAATCTAGACCCGCAGTAGATGTGCTAACTCATGAAATCCTAATTGAAGTTTTTATAATGCGTTTTCGACTCAAAAAGTTTACTTAAATATGGTTGTAATATCAATCACCGCGCAGAATAATCCCACATTAAATCAGTTACTTCATGATGACGGCTTTTGAAAGAACTTCCTTCCGACCGCCTGCAAAAACCACATTCTGTAAAAAAATGACTACTTAAATAGCACGAATTTTTCTCATTGATTATCGATGCCCTAATAAATTCAAGTATATCTCATAGAAAACATGCATAAAAAATATTTATTTTTTTCACTGATTTGGTAGAGAATTATATCTTCGTTAGATTTTATATTTGAAGGGTATAGGTCGAATTTTAAAAGTTTCTTACTAGGAGATTTTTAACACCGCGAAACGTCCGCTCATAAAATATCGTGTCTCTGCATTTACTAATGTTGCTTGTATAGTTTACAATATGGCTAAGATCCGCTGCTAAATTTTATGAACGCCATATACGGTCTCCCGTACACGGAAAATATACAAATTGCGGTTAAGAAACCTTGAATGCAAGTGTGACGGCAAGTCAGCCTCAAAATCATTCGGAAAATGGAAAAGTTTTTTAAACCGATTTATGTCCTTCTTTCAAGTACAAAATATAAAGATGTATTTTTGTACCAAATCAGTAAAAGAACGAGTATCTTTATGCATGCTTGCTATGAGATATTTGATTTATAATGACGTCGAAGATCAAAGAGAAAAATTCATGGTACTCATGTAGGCATTTTTACAGGGTGGGGAGGATGTTCGTTCAAAAGGCGACATCCTGAAGTTACTGAATTATCATGGAATTACGCTACACGGTGATTCATGTGACAACACAACCCGAGTAATCTTTTTCAGTCGAAAACGCCTTTCAGAATTTCGGTTAAAATTTCATGGGTTAGCACATCCACCGTATGCATACAATTCAAAGGTAGGAATTACTCGGACAAAGCTGGTCATTGTGGCGGTCTGCGAGTGTGGATAGTAGAGTAGGAGTGATGGCCAGACGCAATAACACAAACAACAAAAAGAACTAATAATTTATTTCGGGTGAGAGGCTTACGCCAAACAGGGAGAGTGGAGAAATAAATTGTGTCCAGAAAGTCCTGAAGGGCAACGTACCAAAAGCATTCGGACGGGGATAAGATAAATAAGCACCATTCGCTTGTTTCGCTTACAAGAAGATATACATCGTTCAAAGGCGAAGGTGAGGGCTGTATTGGCTGCAAGAAATCAACATAATACGGATTAAGAAAAGATATGGCAATGAAACATTGCCTCGACCCAAAGAATGTCCTGTAGAAACAGTTAAAACCCCATCAGTATGAGCTACTAGGAAGAGCAATGAAGGAGGTTAGGTAATAGCAATTTGGATTCCATCAAGGCCGATACATGCAGAAAAACTCACCTAATTGAAATTCTCCATCAAACATGGCTTTTCTTCCGACATAGTAGTTAAAAGTAACCCGCTGAGCGAGGCTGAAATGTTGATCCATGTTCATGTTCTCAATAGCCCTGATTATTGATTTACAAAGGTTCAGCTTATTTATCTATTTAGGCGACGCGAGATTCGGGTAAGTAAGTCGACAGTACCTGGAAATAAATCTTGAAAAGCTGATTGGCAAGACCCATCATGCCCCTCTTTTTGGAGTCTTCGATAGCCGTCCGGCTTTAAAAATAAAATACAAAGTGGGTATAAGAAGGTGACTAGTGAAATATACTTCATAAGTACTAATATTAAACATGCTTTGAGGAAATTGCCAGGTAGAAAGGGTGTGAATACTGGTGTGGATGCGTTTCGCGCCTATGCACACGATGAACTGAATCAGTTATTTCGTGCGGAAGATTTTCATAACCGTGATCTTTTTATTGCTTTAGCATCAATCAAAATAAAACCCAAACTATTCATCCTTGCACTCTAGATTTTTACTTGATAACAAGGGCGTGTCGCAGTGAAAAGAAAAACTATGCGAACAGAGTAATTCCGACAACAAAATACTACCAACTCGCGACCGTTCAACTAAGGTAAAATAAGTACAACCTAGAAAGAAAATCAAGTGGTACTTAACTTAGGGTAGGAACGGCAGATATAAATATGTTATCTTATAAAATTATTACCTATCTGCGGCACAAATCTGGAATAACTTCATGATAAGTTGGGCTACGCGTTCCATATGTCCACCGTAAGTGGACTTAGGTTCTGCCTTGCCCGTTGTTGATGTATCAAGCGCGGTCGCAAAAGTCCGAAGGTCAACAGCCGACGTCAATACGACGGGAAGCATCCAGTTCTCTTCCTTTACCTCAGAAAATATCTTTGCAATAGCCGTTTAAAAATGTTAAGGAATAATGCAGGACGAATTGATGCACGTATTTGGAAGTTCGAGTGGTACGCAGAATTGTTCTTGGATGAACACCTGCTGCACAGCAAAAGGCCTTCAAAAGCAATAAGAGAGCGGATTTTCTGAGTTTTGATCGGTTTGATCAATTACTGTGTATGCCGCATCTTAGGTAGAACAACCGATAAAGCTTCAGATAGGCGATCGCGACACCTTATGAACGTTAATACGCGGTTCGATCAGACGTGTAGGGGATCCGAGGTCAACGAACTTCGAGGCTGGCGGTAGAAAGTAAATTGTCAGACGATTCAGCTGGCGATCTGAAGATAGAAGCTGCAAAAGATCGCGATGCAGCGGACGCTGGATGAGTCTACGCGGCACCCATGTTAGATGATATATTTAAAACTAAGTAAGTAGGCAGGCCCTGATACCATGCGCTACACTCGGTTTCAGATGATGGCCCCCATCATTCGTACAGAGAATGCAGAAATGCAAAGAACCCATATGTGGCTCGCTACTGAAAGTTTCTATTTTCGAAGTGATGCGTGATGACATCGAATCTCCTCGAAAGCTTAGAAGGGACATGGGTTCTTGAAATACATTGCTCGTGGTAAACATTCTACGTTCTCTGCCTTAAAACTGGCTGATAAAGGGATACACGTAGAAAGGAGCCCTTCACGGGTTCTCTGCAGTAACGTTGTCCAAAACTACCCTTATTTTGTGTCTAAAGAGGGCATTTTAGATCTGATTCTTTGGTTGACAGATCGGTGGATGGCAAATTCAGCCCTGTATATCAGTTTGAGAGGAGAAGAGGTGAAGGTATTCGTGGCCAGAAACACCTTAATTACAAGCGTAAGGGAGATGGCAAATGCAAGAGCAAATAAACTGCAGTTATCTCCAGTAGCAGTCGTTCTCAAAAATTGCCGCCGTAGTTCAGTAAGAGGTTACAAGATCCGCAATTTCGATCTCTCAGTTTTATTAATAAAACCGAGGATATAGAGAAATCGGAGAGAAAATTAAGTATTTGTAAAGATAGTGAGCAAAGCAATTCATAGACAAATAATGCCGGAAAGGATATTTTACAAGAATAACTTGACAAGCACAGGCTTCCTCAAAATCGCCCTTACTAAGAGCCCACAAACATCTGCGATAGGAAAGATAGAGGAGTATAGAGTTTAGTTACCTCAAATGCGCAGATACAATCTCATCCCATGGGGGAAGGACGACACCCATTACTGCATTTTCCGGTTCCGGGACCCCCAAATGTGCACTTGAGGCGTGCCGATCGGAACAATTCAGCAAATTCTGACAATAAAACTTGAGTATCTTACCGCTAGATCTGTTCCATTACATGAACTAATAAATCGGGAAACCTATTTTGCGAATTTATAAATTTTTGTGGCGAACCTCTTTGAGATAAAACTGGAGACTGATATTCGACATCACAAAATAAAAGGGTGGGAGAAGGCGTGAACAAAGATGCGATTGGTTAATTCTGCAATTTCACAAAATGTGCGCTTATTAAAAGTAAACTATAAGTCAGTTAGTATGACTGAGCTCCACTTACAGCATTTGTCTAGAAACTAAGGCCTCCAAAATTATCTTTTAATTTTTACTGTGGATTACACACTAGTATGTCACGAAAAATAAACGCCGAAATTCCCAACTAATAGCCGCTCTTATAGTATTTAAGAGCGTTGAGATATTGGACTAACATGAAGCAATATTTAACCGGAATGAATTTAAAGCAGGCGTAGACAACAGAAATTATTGGAACCAGCAAATTTCGCGAAGGCTTACCAACTGCAGCCTGTCGTTGCATAACAAAGATAACAAGTGAGAATGATACAGATATTTGAACTTCCCGAGGGAAAATCAATGTAAAACAGCAAGGTCATCGTATACTACACGGAGACTAATCCAGAAATGCTTACTTAAAAGCGCAACATAGGAAATAAAGTGAGGGAGTTACCACGCCGAGGGATTTCGTAAATCAAAAGGGCTCATATTTATTAGGGCAAGTTGAGGTTGACCACGTGGTCTAACTGTTTGCATCGATGGGGTTTCTCCCGCCGTATGTAGGCTGCCTTTAGGTAGCGCTGTGAACGAGTTGTTCGTGCTCAAACTAATACATTAAAAGATATCTTGGGGTCAACCGAAGGACCGCTATCAAGGAGGTTTTTTGTATATCAGACCGTGGAATCCCATTATCCTGCATTAAATAAATTTTAATTTAATGCCAGTTTACAGGCATTGTCAAGGGAAGCGATTAAAGACAAATCCGACCGGCAGTGAAAAAAAAACTCCTGAGCTTAAGGCATAAAAATATAGTTGATGTTGGTTTTTGTGGTTTGGAGGGCTCAGGAGAAAAAAAACTGTCGGCGGTGGTAGAATATCGGCCGTCAAGAAGGGGGGAGGTTGCACGGTATCGGAGATTATCGGACGTCAAATTCCTTTCATGAAGTTGGGGATAGTCAAAG